AAGTATATGTGGACGACATGATAGTCACTAGCAAGCGAGCTAAAGATCATATAGAAGACCTGAATGAAACGTTTCAGAACTTGCGTCGAGCCCAAATAAAGCTGAATCCCTTGAAATGCACCTTTGCCGTAGAATCAGGAAAATTCCTAGGGTACGTGGTATCCAAGAAAGAAATTGAGGTAAATCCGGAGAAGGTTCAGACCGTTCAGCAGATGGAGCCTCCCAAGACCATAAAAGATGTGCAGCGTCTGACAAGTCGTGTAGCCGAGTTGCATAGGTTCATAGCTAGGTCAGCAGAAAGGTGCCTCTCGTTCTTTAAAGCCCTGTGAGAGCCCAAGAACTTTCAGTGGACCAACGAGTGTCAACAGGCGTTTGATGAGCTCAAACAATATCTAGCGTCAGCACCTTTGTTGTCCAAGCCTGTGGAGGGGGAGAGTTTATACCTGTACTTGGGGGTAACAGAGGGCGCAGTGAGCTCGGTTTTGTTGAGGGAAGAAAATAAGCAACAAAAGCCTATCTATTATGTGAGCAAGGTTTTACAAGGCGCAGAACAGAACTACCCACTAGCAGAAAAGGTTGCTCTTGCCCTGGTTTACACAGCTTGTAAGTTGAGAGCTTACTTCCAATCACATCAGATTGTTGTCTATACCGATCTGCCGTTAAGGAAGATACTGTAGAAATTGGAACTCTTTGGTCAGCTTATCGGGTGGAGCGTTGAGCTGAGTGAGTACGACCTCAAATTTCAACCGTGCACAACCATAAAAGGCCAGGCTATGGTGGACTTCCTGGTGGAGTGCCTCTCGGCGACAGTGGATGAAAGGGCACCTGAATATCCAGTCTAGGTCCTGTACATGGATGGAGCTGCTAATATTGAAGGGTCGGGTGCTGGGGTTGTATTAGTGGGCCCAGATGGCTTTAAATCCGAGCATGCATTGAAGTTTAAGTTTCAGACAACAGATAATGTTGCAGAATATGAAGCCCTTATTTATGGTTTGAAGTTGGCGTCCGAGCTAAAAGTTCAGAACATAAAGATTTTCAGTGATTCTCAGCTCGTTGTGGGCCAAGTGAACGGTAGTTGTGAAATCAGGGATCCTCAGCTTGGTCGTTATGCCTCTATGGTCAACAGATTGAAATCAGGATTTGCCCATTTCTAGATCGACAAGATACCCAGAGCAAATAACCAATGAGCTGACGAGCTATCAAAATTAGCCTCCTCACAAAATATCAACCCTCAGAGATCAACAATTGTCGAGGTACTTGACGCGCCGAGCTACATTGACTTCACAGTCGAGTGTCAATTATTAAGTACAAATCCCTCTTCGCTGAGCTGGACTACTCCCCTTATTGAATATTTGCGAAGTGGCGAGCTGCTTGAAAATTCGTCCACAGCAAAGTTGATTAAACGCAGGGCAGCACATTTCACACTGTTAGATAATCAGCTCTACAAGCGAGTAGCGTCAATGCCCCTACTACGCTGCCTTACTCCTTATGAAGCTAAATATGTTGTGAGGGAAGTTCATGAAGGAGTATATGGCACACACATAGGTGGTAAAACTTTAGTTCGGAAACTCTTGAGGCATGGTTATTACTGGCCCACTATGGTCGAGGATGCACAGAATTATGTTAAAAAATGCCCGACTTGCCAGTTCAATGCAGATGATATTAACATCTAGGTATTTGAGCTCATTCTAAAGTTCATGCAAACTTCATGTTTGTCTATAAACTGAACATAAATATCTCCGTTGAAACAGAAGAAATGCTATCAACGCTCTCATCACCCTAGCCTTTTGCTCAATGGGGAGTTGATTTGCTCGGTCCTTTATCAAAGGCAAAGGAGGTTGCACTTACCTCGTTGTCGCGATGGATTACTTCACCAAATAGATAGAAGCCAAACCATTATCCATGACAACAGAGAAGAAAATAGAGGAATTCCTATTCAATTCAATATTATGCAGGTATTCTCTTGGTGGCTTAAGCCATTGATACATTGTATACACATATAATTTGTGGCTCAGCTCAGTCATTTGTGTACAGGTTCGGCATACCTAAACGGATCATCACTGACAATGGTCCACAGTTCCGAGCCGCAGCATTGAGGTCGTTCTGTGACGACTATGGTATTGAGCTCGCCTTGACATCTGTGTATGCTCCACAGTCAAATGGACAAGTCAAGTCCACCAATAAAATCGTCTTGCGAGGCCTCAAGACGCGTGTTTTAGCTGCACAGTCTAATTGGGTTGATGAGCTCAATAAAGTGCTTTGGTCATGTCGCATTACACCTAGCTCGGCCACAAGCGAAACCCCATTCAGCCTTGCCTATGGAGTTGAGGCCATTATCCCTGTAGAGGTCGGTTGCCATCTAATAGAGCAGGTTGGCACAACGATCATAACAATGAGCAACTTTTAAGAGAGAACCTAGACCTTGTGGAAGAGGTCAGGGAGATGTCTCGAATAAGAAATATGGTGCATCAAAGCCGTGTCGCCAGATTTTATAATAAGCGGGTTTGAGCTTGTCAATTTCAAGTTGGCGATCTGGTTTTGCGCAAGGTTGCGCTCACTAATGCTTACTCACATATGGGGAAACTTACACCGAACTAGGAGGGTCCTTATATGGTTGTTTGTGTTAAGCGACCTGGGTCTTACCAGTTGGCAGATTTACAAGGTCGCCTATTACCATTCATTTGGAACATACATAACCTTAGAAAGTTTTACAATTAACATGTATGTTATTACTTTGTTCAGGTTATTACTGATCAATTGTAAACGACAATGTACAGAAAACTCAACATAGAAATTTCAAAAGAAAAGATTCAACTTTGTATTTCATCAATGATTTTTACATGTGAAGTACATATTATGAATGAGTTCATTGATCTATACAAAAATACAAAAAATAATATGAAAGAAACAACAAAAATCCTAAGCTAATCATCCGTCAGGTCAACGGGGATGAATGCGTTAGTGGGCGCAGCAGCAGATCGAGTTGGAGATGACCGATCTGGAGGAGAGAGAGCAGGAGCAGTGACCTGGGCGAGCTGAGAAGATGGGGGAGTGCTAGAAGGCTCAACGGGCACATCCTAACGGTCTGCCACCCAAGCATCAAAGCTTGGCAACCCCTTCATGTCCTCCCCTTCTTCAGCAACAAAAGGGGGCCACACGAGCAACCCCTCTTCGTTGAGTTCCCATTTCAGCCTCACCTGTGTGTCAGCTGGAGGGGCGAGGCTCTTCCCTTCGTCATCAATGTCCTCGCCCTCGAAGAAGGCCAACTCGCCTATGGGGAAGTCAGCTCGGTGTCGCAGCACCTTCCCATGAACTTCATTGAAAATGTTGGTGGTGGTTTTGGCTGAGGCAATTGCAACGACGTCCTGGAACATGTCTGCTCCCACCAGCCACTCTGCCCCCTGTGCACGGGCAAAGCAGATGTCGCGCTAGTGGAGCCTCTTGGTCTTCTCCAAGGACGCCTCAGATCGGGCAACGTGCAAATCAGCGTCCACGACCCTCTCCTTCAGGGCGTTCAACTCGTGCAGAGTCTTCTCTCTGTTAGACTCTACCTTCTTGGCCCGGTCTTCTGCACGGTCGGCCTTCTCCTTTGCAGCCTGAATGCCGCTCTCCCTCTCTGCTTGAGCTTTTTCAAGCTCCTCTCTCAGCTCATTGACTATGTGGGCCAACCCATCAGCTCGGCTTTCAGCTGACGCCGCTTGGTTCACCATCTTCGAGCTTTGCAAACGACTGACCTCGTCAGCCAAACTGGATTTCTCAGAGGTCAGTTGTTTGCAGTTCTGTTGAAGTTCGCAGTTTTGCACCCGCGTTCCCTGCTCGCACTCGAAGAGTGCGACAGTGTAGCTGAATGCCTGCCATAGACATTCACTCGTTAGTCTGTAACATAAAAGGATAAGAATACAACAATGAGCTCAGCGAGTCCACTTACATCCATCAACTTTAGAAGAGCAGCATGACCTCCATGCTGCTGGACGTGCCCCTTAACACGTTGCCGATCTGCAGGAGGCACGAAGCTCTGCATACCCTGCACCATAGTGGCCTGGCAGTCAGTTCTGACGTAACTGAAGCCATCCGAGTATGCAATTCTTGGCCATGCTACAGATGACGAGGCAGGCGCTGGTTAAGTGACCTCATGTGCTGGCACCTGGGGCACGTTGGTAGCTGCGCTGCAACGGTTGGGGCGGGCTGTGATCCCGTACTCGTCCTCCGCCGGATGAGGGGAATGTCATCCTCTGCGTCAGAGTCCTCACGTGCGCGCCTTCTTGAACTCGAGGGTGCAGTTTCAACTCTCTGCTCAGCACATGGTCTTGGTGCTGAGCTCGAACTTTGGTGCAACGAGCTGCGCCCGGTGTAGCAGACGGTCGCTCATCAAAGCGGGTTTGATGTTGGGAACCGGACCCAGCTCCCCGGTTCCTCGAGCCTTGTGCTCGTTGAGGTTGCCTTTCCAATATGCTGCTCATTTCTCCTGCACAAACAAAGATATAAGATTCAGGTCGGCTAGAAATCCTAGCATGCTATAGAAATATACCTTCACCATGTAGGTTTGCCACGTCGACAAACCCAAGTAGTGCGATCTGCTCCAACGTAACCAAGGCTTCCAAATCCGCCAAACCCCTTGCCTTTACATGATCGAGCAGCCGGTTCTTCAAGTCGACATCACCAACAGTTAGCTGTGGGTAGTTCATATATGCGTTGGGTGTACGCCACTCTGACAGATGGGCGGCAAGCTCGTTATTGATTCTCTCTGTTCGCGTATCGCAAACGAAGACGAATTGTCTCTTCCACCTTGCCACCTTGTTTCTTATGTTGGTGAATATCATCATCTTTTCTCTCCCGGAAATGTAGTACCATCTCGTTTTGCTGGTGGAGGGACATAGACGGCATAGGAAGAGTGACCTGAAGACCACCGCCTTCACGAGCATCCCCAACCTCTGACATAACAGCATAAAGCCTATGATAAACTTTATGCTATTAGGGGTTAGCTGTGAAAGGGCCAACTCGTACTCTGCCAAGACATCAAAAATTAGTCCGGCCAGAGGAAAACGTAGACCGGTGTCAAAATGGTCTACGTATACCAGCACCTAGCCCGTGTGTGATACTGAACACACCCATTCGTTTGGTGTCCCAGCTCGGATCAGGATGGTTTTGGGGATCTGGTATCGCCTCACCATCTCCTCTAACTTCTTGTACCCCTTCACTATGGCTGCACCATCTGCAACTTCGTGATGCAGTGCCGCCCTGAACTTAAATCCGGCCGGTAGGGTTTTGGGGGCCTTGCGAAGGTTATCCAATCGCCCACTGATAACCTTGCTCTCCCACCCCTCAAACACAACCACCTCCGTTTCTGCACTCATCGCCGGTGCATTGCAACCAACCACTTCAACACCCTCCGCTTCACTGGGTGTCTCTTCCGTGGGCGAATCGCTGGAAGTTGAAGGCCGGTGGTCATCAGAACCACCACTCGTGCTCAAACTAGTGCTACTCTCCGGTGTGGTGGTTTTGGGCGAATCTTGCAACTCCGGCGGCATTATCATGGCGATAGGCTCCATTGATATCACATCTATTCCTTCTTCATCACCTTGATTACCCCGATACTCTCGTGCATCATGGAAAGAAGCCATTTTTACTTGAGTAGTTGAAGTCGGATGTCCTTTCGCTGGAAGTTCTGGAAAATGGCCTGGAGCGTTTCTGTAACTCTTGCTGATGAAAATGCTAACGTACTGTGTAATGGAATAAAGAATGGCTAGACTAATTGCTTTTGCTTTTGTCCTTCAGATAGTGCTCCTAGAACGCCGTACCCGTGTTTATGGCCCCCCAGTTAAGCGCGTCCACGTGGCACCCACTTATGGTTAAGCGCCTAACACTCGCCGCCTGCAGCTGTCACGTCCCCTCAAATGCTGAGCCAACATTTATTGCGAGGAGGTAAAAGGATATCTGCCGTTGACAGAAGAATACCAAACACCCTGAGCAAATCTCCTCAGAGATTTGCCATAATTCGAAATTTGAAAAATCCCAGGAATCAGCTCATTACGAATTCGAGATCTCTTCAGAGATTCGAAGTTTGAAAAATCGCTAGAGACTGGGTTGTAACAAATTAGAGATCCACCTCAGTTTTGAAAATCAAATGTTAGATTGTCACCAACTCCTTCAGATTTACTCTGTATTCTAGAGATCTACATTATAGTGACGATTGAGGTCACTCATTTCAACCCATCTGGGTTGATTGGCTTAGCTCGTTCACTATCTGCTCACCTTCACTCTACTACAGAAGGTCCATTATGCGAGGTTGCCCTTGCGCGCCCGCTTAGCTAGCTGATCAACGCCAAGCTCGCATGGTTTTAACACCAGCTTCCCCACACTTGCTCAGTAGGAAGTTGGCATACACATATACATCAGGCTTGGCCACACTAGCTTTAGGCTGCCCAGATCGGCCGTGCATGAGGTCGTTCGTGAACATAAAACATCACTCCTCATCCTTAGGGTCAAACACCGTGCTAATAAGACTCTCAACCTAGTTCATCAACCGAACACTGAGGGGGGAGTAATGTCGGGATTAGGCCCAACACCCGCTTCGGGCCACATGCAGCAGGCCCAACTATGCACCCACAGGCCCAAGAGGAGGAGACATACCCACGTGGGCAGTGACACGTGGACCAATTGGATGAATACATGTCTGAGCTCATGTCAGCATTTGGGGCTATAAATACCCCCCAACTACCTCCATGCAAGGTATTAACTCTTCTACGTCTCTTTTTCTGCAATTACTCTTTGAGAGCATCTCTCTCTAGAATATCGAGTATTGCTGACTTGAGTGTCAAAGTGTTTTCCCTGAGAAAACATCATCGAGATTTTCAGGTGCAGAAGTAGCTGAGGACTTCAACAGTGTTGGATTGCGAAGCTGCCCAAACAATAGGGGGATACCAGATACCCCTGCATTGTTCTGAAACCTGAAGTGATTTTGGACATTCAAGTTCTTTTTAGTAGCAGCTGGACATTCAGGTCTTTTTCTTTTAATTTTTGAGTTGATTTCTTTTGTTTCTTGAATCACCTCACCTGCATATTTTTTATGTTAGGTTACATAATGAGGTATATAAATCTCTTAACTTATTATCTTTGCATGTCATAGAAGGCAAACTTAAAGAAAAAAAATTATCACTAAACTATTTAAATTATTAATAAAACACTTAATTTTATTGATACATGAAATAATAAATTATCCAATAAAAAATACAATAAAAAATAACCCTTATCTTTTCAAACCTGTTCAACCCATCCAAGAGCAAGATACAAACCTAGATTTTTAACATATCTAACATAAGATTCAAACTCTTAATCATATAACTTTTATTTAAATAATGGGAAGATTCAAGTTGTAAACATGCTGTACATAGCTAAACTTGGTGAACCGTACAGTACGGCGGCCCACCTATATTGTACCCCAATTTAAACATAAGGGCATGTTTGGTTAGAAGATTAATTTATCAAAAAAGTTTTTGTTGAGAGAATGATTAAGAAGTATTGTATGAAAAATTATTTTGTAATAAAATTCTATTAGAATTTTGTTAGATTACTAATTTTATTCTATTTTGAAAAGAAATTATTATAGAAAAAATTAGTAGGAAAAATATTAAGTGGGTCTAAGAAAAGTTATAAGAAAATATTTTTCTTTTAAAATATGTGAGAAAAAACCTTTGTGAGTTAATAATTGTATAAAGAAAAATAAATAGTCAAAATATCACTTTTACCCTTCTTTTATTGTAATACTAATATATAAAAATATGTAAATAACATTATAAAGGGGAAAAATTTAGAAAAATTTAAGGTGAAAACTTCTTCAACCAAACACCCCTAAAAGTTTGGCACTCAGCTAATCAATGACTGATAAAAATTTACTACATGTTTGATTAAACCTTCTCTTAAAAAAGAATTCGGGAAAATTGACTAAAAATCAACTTGATTTGGCTGAGGAAATTAAAGTTTCGAGCCTGAAAATTGAGGTACAATATAATTGATTATAATGAAAATGTAAATGATTATATTAGGTATATAGTTGATAACAAAAGGTTTATAATAAATTGTAAAAATATAATTGCTTATTTTTAAAATGTAATTGATTACCCCACTTTCTTGTTAAAAAATTCTGGAAGAAAAGTTTTCTGAGAAAGTTTCAATTTAATCACTTACATTTTTATTATAATCAATTATACTTTGCTTTAATTTTCATGTCAAAAACTTTAATTTCTTGAGTCAAGCCAAATTAATTTTTGATCAATCGTCTCATATTCTTTTTTTGAAAGAAGTTTCGACCAAACAAGAATGTTTGGTTACCATGTTATCCAAAAACAGAATCTGAGGTAGCTGACCAAAATGCAACTCGACTTGATTTAGGAAAATAAATTTCTTGATACTAAAATTAAAGTCTAATGTAATTGGTTATAGAAAAAAATGTAATGGATTATATTGCCACTATTCTCGAAAATTTTTTTGAATAACATGATAGCATCAAACAGACCCTAAAAAATTTCCAAACGTTACACTTGCACATTAGGGGATAGCTCGAGGGGGCGTGTCGCAGGCCCTGGAGCAGCTCAATGAGTTGAAAAACAAGGTAGTGAGAGAGAGAAAAAAAAAATACAATTATAATATCACCATATATTTTTAATTTATAATGATTATATAATTATTTTTTTAATTTAAGAATTCACTCATAATATTATATGGCTATATTTATTCAAAAATATATCATATTTATTTAATATTATATTATAATTATAATATTTAAAAAACATACTAATATATATATTATTACAAATTTTTTATTTAAAATTTATCTCAATAATAGTTTTTTTTTTATTTTTATTTTTTTATATATGCGGATGGGTTGGTTCAAGTTTTTGAGGTTGGTCCAGTTTTGCCAATTGGATAACCCGCTGGACTACCAGCTGGTCTGGGCCTCAGTTATGGTTTGGTTACCATCCTCGGGCCCCTAAGGATTCTCGTTTTAGATTAAAAAGACCGCCCGAACAAGTGTTCCGTTTTATTGAAAGCATCTTCGTCTTCTTTTGCACTTGAATCTGACTGAGATTAGAACTGATGAAAAAATTGAACCTTTTCAAACGCCAAAAGAAAAATTCGAGCTGGTATTTTGTTCTTCGTTTTGAAAGAGCAGCAAGGGTAGATCGAGGAAAACTTTACAAAGATGATCTCTTTCTTCTAAGGAGGAATCAGATCTTGGGGAGGATGAAACATCTGATCTGAGTGATTCTTCAGGTATAAGCCCGAGAAGCTGTTTCGATTCATGACTTTTTTTTATCTGGTGAGATCTTTTGGATACCTATTAATTTTCTTCCGGATCTATATGTTTATAGATATAAGGTGTGGGTTTCATCTTTTGTGTTCCTTTTTCTTTGTTAGTGGTAGAAGAGTTGAACTTTATTTTTCGCGGTGCTTGATTTCATTAACATGTGTTTTAAATTTCTCGTTTCTTTCTGTCCGTCCTATATAACCTTAAAAGAGAGTCTCTAAATCATTGCGCAGAGGTTTTAAATTAATTTTGCACTGCTATTGGAAACGGGAAAGTCTTGAAATGTAAGGTAAAGTGTTAATTGAGACTGTACTTTAGAAACTAGCCTATTTCTCTCCATGATAGGTACAAAGTTTAGATTGCAATTTAATAGTTTGGTTTGCACTTTATTAAATTATTCAGTAGCATGTTTCATGTTTAACTATATAACAATTTGGTCATTTTATACAACTTTTTCCCACATAAATCTCTAAAATGAAATAGTCATTTTATCATAGTCATATACAAGTTTCTGCCTTTGTTTTTCTGTTGTTTCTCATAAATTTATATGAATTTAAGTTCTTTATGTTCTCTTAGCATATTCTTCATTTATAGGGTCATCACTTTAGCATCTAAAAGGGATATTATAAAATTCTACTATTTCATTCTTTTCTATGCGAAAAAATTCTGCTAAAAGTTGTTGGTTCTTCTCAGTCTCATGCATGATGGTTCCCTCTTTATTTTCCTTCTCTTTTCCAATGAATTTGTTGATCTGGATATTTTTCTTTCATGATGAGTTGGTGCATTGTTACACATCATTCTTGTTTCAAATTTGGGGATGAGGTGTATGCTTTTGGTGTAATAATGCTCCAATTTATCATGAACGAAAAAAATTCAGATAAAAAAATCTGTCAAGAGAGAAGAAGAAAAACAAAAATAAACAGAGATTATTATGCATATATACCTGGAAGCCTAAGAAAAGATTGAGAAGAAGAAACAACTTTTAGCAGAAGATTTTGACATAAAATTGAATAAATTAGTAGAACTCTATAATATGGCTTTTAGGTGCTATAGTGATAACCCAGAATGTAGTAAAAGAACGTGGAAGGCTTGAATTTGTATAAATTTTTGTGAAACAAATATATATATCTATATATTTATATATATAAACAAGGGCAAAAAGTAGTCTATGATTAAGTGGAGATTTGTGTGGAAAAAGTTGTATAACAAAGGAATGATGGAATTGTTACATAGGAAACCTGCTACTATTGAATGATTTCACAAAGAGCAAGCTAAGGCAAACAATTAGAGTCTGTAGTCCAAAAGAGTGCGATCAAGGAGGAGAACAAATTGTATGGAAGGAATTTGTTTGTTCTTCTCAAAAGATTGTTCTAAGAGAAAAGAGCAATGATTCATGAAGAAGTAATGTGATAGCAATGAGATTTTAATTAAAGGATATTTGGTTAGGTCCAAGGCTATGGCACATGTTATGTATATCTTTATAGTTGAGAGTGAAGTGAACATAAAAGGATCAATGAAGAAATTTGAGGGTGAGCATCATTTGACGAAGGGTGAGAAAAGTTAGTTTTGCGAAAGGTGTGGTAGGAACTTGAAGCACTAAGGTTCTATTTTAAATAAGATTGAGATTTACAGATGATGACATATCTAATCGATTCTCTTTAGGTGTTAGCCCCATAAGCAGTTTTAATCTGGTGAGATCTCTTTGATACCTATTAATTTTCTTCAGGATCCATAGAATTAGTAGAAGGTGTGTTTTCCTTAACCCCAAGGATTGGATCTACTAGGAAGCAAGCATTGTCTTCTAGGCAAGGTCCAGGGTTCAAGTCTTCAGACTAGCACTTAAGGAATTTAATTTTCTTGAATGCACCAGGCTGATGTGGGAAGTGTGCCCTTAAGACCACCCAAGGAGGAATTTGTCTTGAGATGCCCAAAAAAGGGGGTAAAAGGGCTTGACTTCGTTGCTGATGGATCTTAATCTCATTGACATGCACTTTAAAGTTCTTTTATTTTTGTCATGTGTAACCTTAAATCTCAGTTAACTTTTTGCACTGCTAGGAATATTGGGATTGGAAAATCTTGTGTATAGTGATTTAACAGTTCAGTATTTGTGTGGCAAATGTTTTTATGCATAATCAGCTTTGTAGATAATGTACTTCTGCACATGTGGCATCAGCTGGTGAAACACGTTAGATCAAAGGAAGGGAATTTTTTTTTTTAATATCAAAACTATGCACAAAAAAAAAAGAAAAAAGAACAATGTCACAACAGTTCAGTATTGATCTGTTCCTGCTTTTACAGTCTACATACCATGGCAACATCTCATGGGTAATATGCACACCATGGGTAAATGTAGTCAACATCTCATGGGTAATATGCACACCATGTACAAGAGAATTGATCAGGACTGGTAATGTAAGTATATGCAGACACCATTTTCCCCTTTTAATCTAACTGGAAAACACCTATTGTCTACCATGAAATTTGGTAATTTAAACTCGATGTACTAAACAATCTATCCGAATGAAGTGATAATGTCGGTAAATTTCTGCACCTTTCTCTCTCTACAATGTGTTAACAGTTTAATCTGACTAGAAGAGACTATAGTATATGTATGCTATTATCCTCGTGACAGGGTGTGTTTAACTGGAGCTGCCATTGTACTCCAAATTATTCCATTTGCATTGCAGTAAGGAGACGAACCCTACCTTGATAGCCCGAGTGTGTTACGCGATATCCTATATGAACAATTGTGATCCAAATTAGATGACCTTCAATAGAAACTTCAAGAGCCATCCTCACCATCTAATGGAGTGGGTGAAACCTAAAGGTCTGCCTCCATTGAGTATGAGGAACAGATACCTGGAAGGTTGGGAGCTGAAGATTACCCTTAGATAAACAAATATGCAACATAAGTAGTAACATGTTTAAATATTATGTTTAATAAAATTAAAATTTAGAAATTAGTCTGAACTTGTCCTGTATGTAGTGGACACGAGATATCTCCAAGTCCGAACACGATGAGATTGTGACTGGCTAAAGGCAGTATCTCCACCTCTCTCCGTGTCTGGAATCATTGTCAATAATTAGTATAAGAATAACCTAGTATGTATAATCATTCGTTGAATAGAAGAGGATGCACAAGTGGGTATAAGTATTTCCTGAATGAAAGAAGATAGACAACTAGGATTCTTAGAACCCATATTTGACTCACCTGTGGTTCTCTCGTCTATGTTACCCTATGAAGAATGTACAAGAGTCTCTGTGGTAGTATACCAAAGCGAGGGTCTATTCGGAGACCTTCATCGAACACTACAACAAGGTCATCCAAGGGAAAGGTATCAGTTTGGAGGCGTAGTATGGATTGCCCAGCAGTTGGTGGGATGATAATCGTCTCTATAATATTAAAGAAAATTGTTGAACATACAAAACCCAAGATTCAAGTACTCACACTCGGAACAAATAAAAACTAACAATCAATTGAGAATCATATAGAACTCAAGATTCAGCTTTAATAACTAGAAGTCCTAGACGCAACTGAATGCTGAATTATATAATTCTCCTGGAGGAAATTAAAGGAAGATCGTGGTTGGAATGTATTCGTTGTTGGCAATTGAAGGAGGCACGACCACGACCACCAGTGCAGTGAAGAAAGAATGTGGAGGTGGGTATTAGGGTCGATAACTGAAATTTGGTTTTCAGGGCTGGTATCTGAAGTAAAAAAAGGGGCCTTTTGGAGCCGGGCCGTTTGCAATGTACTGTAGTCATGGGTTTTGTTGCAGAATTTGTCCCTTTAACAATTTATTGTTGGGCTTTAGACAGTGCTCAAGTTGGATAAGTTAATTTAGTGGGTTCAATTTTTTAATTCTTAAAAGATTTAGGTTAGAGACATGGATTCACTTGTCACTTAGTGATTTTAACTTAAAAGATTAGCAACATGTTTAATATCCTTACTTTCCTTCAATTAGGTTTTTGAATAGTTTTCAAGGTTTGATTAATGATAATTTAGCAGCATCCAAAAAAAATGGCAATTTAACTATTATACTAAATGTAAACATGTATTAAGAGTATTATGAATTTTCTTAAAAAACCCTAATACACATATAATAAATTTAATTAGATCATTTTCATTAATATAAAAATTAAAATTAATTTTTCACTAAATCAAAAGATAAAGCCTAACACACATACTACACAAATTTTTTCAAAAATTGGCAGAAGGAATAATTATAATGTGACAACTATGGGTGTGGACTCGAAACTAAATTTTAAATTCTTCAATTTTATACGAGTGATATAGAGCATTGTTTTAAAAGTTGGACCAAACTGGTCGGTTGGACTGGTCAAATTAATACTAGTAACATAAATGAGTCAAATGGGTACTTAAAACTAGTAAAGAGATTGAATCACTTAAAACTGACAAAACTATTTGAACCAAAACAAACAGTTAAACCATTCAACCAAACGGTTTAAAGCTCTTTGGAAAATTTCCTTAGATTTGCCATCAATCCGAACACATGACTCTAAGTAGACTTTCAAGAACTTTTGCCACTAGGGCATGATATGATTCGCTTAAAATTTTGTTTATTTATTTATTTTATTGAAAATTCCATTCAAGGAAATTGAGCTTCCTTTCCTCCATAAAGTTCCTCTAGTTATGTGTAGAGAAATATCGTTGAATTTTGTATTGAAATTAATTTATATAAAAAAATTATAAAAGTTGATATTTATTTTAATACTATTGATACGTAAAT